CACACACACACACACAAACTCAAATAAAAGTATCATGAGTAATATGAAGGAGAAGAAAGCCACTTATTCTATGTTTATCTATCGATATCCATGCATTTTAGTTTTTAGCCTTTAGTAATTAAATAATGTGGAGACTTCTTGACCTTGCATTAGCTGGAGGCTTTGCAAGAGTGAGTTCCAACTCTGCTATTGGCCGTCATTCGGAGAACTGGAATTGGACTTTGTCTTCGGCTGGGATCAAATGAACAATTTTTTAATCAAACACTTACATACGAAAGGAAAGTCTCCGCAACCAGGTCAAACAACCAACCGAAGCACTGCATATCGTCTGGTTAAGGTGGCGAATTCGGTTGTACGATTGGAGGAGGTAGAATTGCGGCATGATCCTCTTTCTTGGTCTGGTGCTTTGATGCCGTCTTCGTAAATGATGCCTTCCGGCTATTCCACAACAGAGAATCAGGTCAGTCGACTCAAGGCGATTGAAGAAGTGAGAGTGACAAGTTAGTGCTAGAGAAGTGGGTACTCTTTCGATGCGTGCTCGCTCCGGTCTCTGAAGTTCGGTCTCCGGTCTCCAGTCTCCGGTGTCCGTTGTCCGGTGTCCGGTGTCCGATCAGGCCGAGTCACGAAAACCTCGCGGCCAATTCGTGTCGTTCCTCGCCCACAGCCCCTTTAGCATCTGCGCTTGTTTCCTCTTTTTATTTCACACTCACTCACTAAAGCACTCACACTCTCGTTCCCTCAATCGCTGAATCATTCATTGTTGCTCACTCATCGAGTCAACTACTTGAACTCTCACACTCTCTCACAAATTGCCGAAATCTCCCACACTTTATCAATCACTCTCAAGTTCACCTAATCACTCAATCACTGAGCTGCACTAATTCATTCACTTAATCACTCCCCTCCACGCACCCAATTGCACATTCCTTCACCGCCCATCTCGACTGCCTTCAACTGGTACAGATCAGTGCGCAAAGGAGTAGCGCAGCGTCCTCCAATTTTGTCGCGCCTCGTCCGCCCCAACCAGCTCGACCCGCCGCCGGTCTTTTCGCGTCGTCCAACTTGGCAGCCTCAGCCTCATCACCCTTCGTCAGGCGCTTCGCCGACGTTACTGGCGTCGTTTCGCCCGCCCTCGGCCGCCCCTTGGACCCCGTCGACTCGGCCCTCGTCGGCAAACAATCGGTCACGGCGCATGGAACGACGTCGTCCGACGCGGCCAAAGGCAGCGCGGACCTCGCCAATGGCACCGGATGGACCCTCGCGGAGCACCTCAAAGCACAAGCAAGCATTGCGACAGGTCAGTCTACAACAAGCCACTTCTTCTTCATCCTCATCCTCATCCTCATCCTCATCCTCATCCTCATCCTCATCCTCATCCTCATCCTCATCCTCAT